GCAGGCTTTTTTTTTTTTTTTTTCTTCAAAAAAGCGAACGATAAATAAATTATCTGTGTAAATTATTTATTAGTATAAAAAAAATAAAAGAAAAATTGTACTAAATATTTAGTTAAGATTAATGAGATGTTTGGTTATATTTTATGTATTGTGGTATTTAAATTTAATTATGTATGACTTATATTTTTTAATTATGAATATACTAAAAAAAGTATGCAATTATGTAATTTTTTCCTTTTGAAATGAATAATTTTATGTATATGAAAATGAAACTTTCAATATTACAATCATTAAATTAATTACATAACATAACATTTATTGAATGAATAATTTTTATTTTAAAAAAAAATAAAATCTTACAAAAATTTATATCATTAAATAAAATATGTGTAAATTACTGATGATGATAGAGCAATTGCATCACTATAGATCAAGCACATCCCAACTAGGTTGACACATGCTAGCCTACCAATCATTTGCATTATACTTCATCTCAATAATATAAATACAAAAAATAACGCAATGAAATAGTAAAAAAACAAATTAATGATCAATCATTGGAAGAAATAGACAATTCAGTCGCGTTTGTCGAGATATGTCAACCAATCATTTTGAATTATCTCATTTTCACTAATATTTGTTTTTTTCGTAAGTGCATGCATATGATCTCTAATGCCTCAATCATTTGGGGTGAAAGCTTATTGCGATAATCACTCAACACCCGTCCACTTGCACTAAAAACTGTTTCCGAAACAACTATAGAAATAGGAATAGTTAGTATATCACGGACTATCTGTGAAACCACAGGCCACATAGTTTCATTTTGTTTCCACTAATCCAAAATGTCAAAATTATCGAAATCATCCACTAATGGGCTTTCTAAATAACGTTGTATTCAGAACCACTTACGCTTGCATGTTAAGATATTCTTCTACTTTTTATTGCTGAAAAAACACTTAATCTCCCGCCTCAAGATGAGACTGCTAGTGTAGTGTGTAGGTGTATTTACAGATGCAATTATTCTATATTCTTCAAATAATGTGTTGCATGTTGCATAATAGGGACAAACTGTCTTGATCAACGAAAATACGTTCTAAAAAATTCTTGTAAACCAATTTCTTTACACCTATGATCAATTATTATCGCTAAACCTAAAAGATGAGGCAAATGATTGAAACATTTATCAAATTTTGTTTTTATTGAAGTAATAATAGTACATAATATTCATTACCCATCTATTTTACTAAAATTTTATTATTTCTACTAACATATGTAAAATAAATGGTGAAGTAAGAATATATATAAGAAAATAATTTTGTTGAAGTATCAAAAACTTTAAAAAATCTTTATATAAGGTATTTGGTGCCAATTAAGTTCTGTGGGAGTTAGTATTCCTCTTATTGATATTGTTGCCAATTAAGTTCGATGGGTTGGGCCGGACCGCCCGTAGGGGCCAAAAAAATTTAGGCTGGGCCAGGCTTCAAATGGAAGGCCCAAGTCCAGGCCCAAGGTCCTGGGTTGGGCTCGACCCGAGCCCACCTCGGGCCACCCACGAATTTCGGGCCTTTTTTACACCCCTATCATCATACATATAAGTATTTGGTACTTACTTGTAAAGATACACGAATACAGGATGGGGTACAGTTTGGTACTTTTGTGCGTACGAGGCATAACTATAATTTAAAATATAAATACGGTATTAGAACTATATATTATGCCTATTTTGAAGAATCAAAACATAGAAGGTGTCTTTGCAATTATCACAAAGCTTCTTCTGTTTAAACGATGGACCAATTAGAGTTGACGACTGCCGATGTCGAGCTCATCACAACACCGAGGCTCAACATTAGTTATTTTTTGCATTTGATTTTACATTATTATATATCATTCATTGTTGTAAATTATAAAAATATTTTTTTTAATGGACATATTTCGACCACACTTATATCTTATTTTTGCTGGTTTTTCCGTATCAATGTATTCATATCGCATTTATGTCAGCACCTGTGCTTCTTGATTAGTTTGTAGTCATCTAAAAATGCCATGAATGATTATACAAGAAGTCTTGCCTTCTTGAAAATACTCCTACATGCCTTAAATTTTGTCCTCCAACACATTCAGCCATTGTCATACGGACCAAATGGTGTACAATTACTATAATTTGTTTCACTAAATCTAATATTTCTTGGTATTTTTTTGCAGCTGAATCATCACAAACCATCGAAGAGTAATTATTTGCTTTTGGTCCCCGTGGCAATCCAAATCTTAGGTCTGATTTTCTGGTGTAAAGGAAGTCTCATTGTATGCAGGATTTTTTTTCCCCTTTCTAAAGTGAAAAATTAGAGATTTTAGTTAGAATTTTGGTGGGAGGCATGTTGGCAGATGTGGAGCAGTAGCCAAAATGTTTGGTTTATTTGAAACTTGAAAACACATTTATTGTTCAGCAAATTGTTCGACACTACTTCATAATTCATATATTGTTCTGACTATAATTCAATGAGCTTACTTCTTAATTGAATTGACACATTATCGTGTATAATTGAGTTTGTTATTGAGAAACTTGCCAAGTCAACAATTGGAAATGTTGATTTTTGTGCGAGTGTTTGTGTTTATGATGCCCATGGACGATCTTTGTTTTTGTTGTTGTAGTGTTGGATTGTGACCGAGATTTAACATGTCTTGGAAATTTCTCTAAATGCTTTCAAATATTTATTACAGCATGCTCAATGAATAACCACTATTCAAGATTTCTATTTTTTGCTTCCTTGAACTTGACAATATAGTCTAACCATTTTGGGCACAGCAGATAGGGCCATTTTGTTCTCTTGTTAGAAGTGTAAGTTCATATTCCGAGGTGTTTTGGCTTTCTTCTTTTATTGTTTTTTGTGTCTAAAAATACAAAAACAATAAAAAGTTCCAGATCATCCATAATAAGTTTTCAAACTTTTTTGGTGTTTAGAAAATGGTTGTTTTTGCCTGACATTTAGCACGTAAAAATTTTCATAAGATCCCTTGAATCCATTTTACGAATTTGATTTGTCTATAATTGGGTTGTTTTTCAAGAAAATTTCATAGTTATGGAAAATGTATAGTTGACTAAACAAGTTTTTGAACATCCATGTTTATATACTCTGAAAAACGAAAACAGAAAATGAAAATAATCAAAAGCAAACATGAAAGGTGTGGGGATGAGCTAGTGTGCTTAAATATAGGATTCATATTGTTATTTTGCACGCTCTCTCTCTCAGTGAACGTGCACATGTTCCAAAAACACCAACATGAAGATGCCACTGTGAAGAAGACCCTAAATATATAAAAGTCAAAGAAAAGTTAGTAATATTTTACAACAACTACTCTTATCTTAGAATAATGGCAGGGAATCGCATTGCCGACCAAAGAAGGGAAATGAAACAAATTAATTACTCAAACGATTTTTTCTTTTCTCATTTTGCTTTTTTTTTTTTTTTTAATAAAAGAATCCAAAACATATGATAGAGAATTAGATCAATTCTGCAATAATGAAGGTGGTTGTGGTCAGGGAAATCTCTCTCTGTTCGACCCGTTCCATCCACAACTCACTGTATCATTAGTTGGCGCCATCTGTGGGAATCTTTTGCTCCACGTGGTAGTTGTGCTCATTGTCGCCGGAGACCCTTTCCCAATAACCCCTTCTTACCACCTGCGAAGGTGGATGGTCATAACTAGATCCATGGCCTCTCACCACAATGTTGCCGACCACCAAGCCGACCCTTCCAATCCTAACAACCCACTGCAGTATTTTACCGAGCTCACCAACAGCATTAACCGTCTGGCCGAGCAAAACCAAGCTTTGATTAATGCTCTACTCCAAAGAAACCTTCTCATGCCTCCTCCATCACCTCCAGATATTCCACCCAACCAAGAACGAGCCCCGAGCCATATTATCCAGCAGCCCTATCCACCCAACTTGGAAGGCTTACGACCCCCTCCCCCATATATAAATCCGCCACCCCAGGCCCCACATCCATCGGTCCCGGCACCAACCCCTGAAGGAGAGGCCAGTAGCGTCCAGCCCCCGTTGTTTTCTAGTGATGACAACATTCCTTTTTGGGATGCAGAACTCCGAGCCATGAAGCTCCAACTCCAAGGAGTCATGCAGAACATACAACATAAACCATCTACTACAGCCAACTCCCCATTCATTGCCTCCATCAGGGACAAACCACTACCCCCCAAGTTTAAAATGCCTACGATCGACTCTTTCGATGGTACATCGGACCCAGTCGATTACTTGGAGACCTACAGAACCCTCATGATCCTCCATGCATTCCCCGATGAAATCATGTGTCAGGCTTTCCCCGTAACACTCAAGTGGTCGGCTCGACTTTGGTTTAGTCAACTCCCAGCAGACTCCGTCTCCACTTTCCAGCACCTCAGCGACTCCTTCCTCAACCATTTCATAGGAGCCCAACACTAGCGGCGCCCAGCAACCCAACTCCTTAATATCCGTCAGACCGATGGGGAGTCGCTGCGCAGTTTCGTTACCCGCTTCAACACCGAAGCCTTGCAGGTAGCAGAAAACGATGACAAGGTTTTCAACACCGAAGCCTTGCAGGTGGCGGAAAACGATGACAAGATCATCCTCGCAGCGTTCATGGTCGACCTACGATCATCTGACTTCCTTTACTCCCTCTCCAAAAATCCCCCGACCTCCATAGCAACCCTACTTTCCAAAGCCCAAAAATACATGAACGCCGAAGATTCCCTAACCGCTCACCAAGATCCTACAGCCAAAAACCCGACCCCTAGAGAGAAGAGAAAAAACTCAAAAACCAAAAACACCCAGTACAATAACCAAACACCTCAGTATACCGACCGACCCCCTCGAGCCGACCGGTTGGCAACAACCTGACCGCCCGGCCGGTTCGAACGGTACACACCCCTCAATTCTCCCATGGAACAAGTTCTCAATCAGATCTAACGAGACTACCCCCTAAAATGGCCCCAACCGTCACGGTCTCCTTCCAATCGGCGAGACCAGTCCAAAAACTGTCATTTTCACCAGGACCATGGCCATAATACCGAGAAGTGTGTTAACCTCAAAGATCAGGTCGGGGGCTTGATACATCAGGGACGTCTCACTCGATTCACGGAAACTCACCCTCAACAGAGGCAAAGGACTGAACCCATCAGAAACAACCGCCGACGCACCCCTCCCCGGCAACCAGTATAACCTAACCAAGGTCACGATCGCCCTCTACAATAACCTCGGGCACAAGGTAACCCTGCCCCCCTGTTGGAGAAATCAGAGTTATTTCCGACGGACTTGCTTGTGGAGGACCATCCCGCTCGGCTCAGCGAGTAGAACTCAGAAAAATAAGGCAGGGCTCAGACAAAGAAGTTGCCACATTGGACCGACCCTCTAAACAGCCCAAGTAGTGGACGGAGCCTATCACCTTTACGGACGCCGACTGCACAAGCATCTGTTACCCCCATGACAACACTCTCGTCATTTCTGCCCTCCTCTCCAATTACAAGGTCAGACAGGTTCTCGTCGACAACGGCAGTTCTTCAGACTTCATCTTCCTAAATTACTTCCGCCAGCTAAAGATCGGGGAAGAAAGTTTATCCCCTCTCCAAACCCCATTAGTCGGTTTCACTGGAGATCGGGTGACCTCCATCAGCTCCATCGATCTTCCCATCACAATCGGGGAATGCCCACGGCAGACCACAAAGTTACTCACCTTCCTCGTCGTCGACTGTCCCTCTGCTTACAACATCATCCTTGGCCGCACCGCCCTAAATGAATTTCAAGCTATCACATTTACTTTTCATCTTGCCATCAAGTTCCCCACCGACCTGGAGAGTCAGCACAGCAAGAGGAGAGCAGACCGTGGCCAGGGAATGTTACGTCGCCTCACTTAAAGAGGTCAAGTTAAAGGAGGCTATGATCATTGAAGGGCTCGACGTCAGAGACAAGGACAAGCTAGTCAGAGGGGAACCAGTGGAAGAGCTTGTTGAGGTCCCCATCGACCCCACCAACCCGACAAAAATTGCCAAAATCGGCAGCCAACTATCCTCCCAAGCAAAGGCCGACCTTACTGCCCTCCTGATTGAGCACAACGACGTATTTGCTTGGACCCACTCAGACATACCGAGTATTGACCCCTCTTTCATAACCCATTGTCTCAGCATTAAGCCCCACTTCCGACCCTTCCGCTAGAAGCAGAGCATCTTTCACCTGGAGCGCAACACTCTTATCGCCTCCGAAGTAGATAAGTTCCTTGAGGCACAGTTTATCAAAAATGTGGACTACCCCAGATGGCTATCAAATGTGGTCTTGGTTCGTAAAAACAACGGTAAATGGCGACTCCGTGTTGACTACTCAGACCTTAACCGAGTTTGCCCCAAAGACAGTTATCCCCTTCCTCGCATAGATCTGCTTGTTGACGCCATGGCCGACCATCAAATGCTCAGCTTCATGGACGCCTTCTCTGGATACAACCAAATTCTGATGCACCCGTCTGACCGGGAGCACACCTCCTTCATCACCGACCGGGGAACCTTCCATTATTGTGTCATGCCATTTGGGTTAAAAAATGCTAGGGCCACTTACCAACGGTTGGTCAATGCCGTCTTTCATCATCAGATAGGCCGGAACATGGAAGTATATGTCGACGACATGCTAATCAAGAGCAAGCTCCCCACTGATCATCTGGCCGACCTTCGAGAGACCTTCGGCACCCTATGAAAGTATCAAATGAAGCTCAATTCAGAGAAATACGCCTTCGGCGTAGGATCTGGGAAGTTCTTGGGTTTCATGGTCAGTCAATGGGGCATCGAAACTAACCCCGAAAAGATCAAGGCCTTAATTAAAATGCAGTCACCCAAAACAGTTAAGGAGGTTCAGAGGCTTACTGGCCGAGTTGCCGCACTCAACCGCTTCATTTCCCGTGCAACAGACAAGTGCCTCCCCTTCTTCAAAGTTCTTCAGCAAACTTTTAAGTGGACGGCAGAATCCGAAGAGGCCTTTCAGTAGTTGAAACAGTACATGGCCAACCCCCCTACTTTCTCAGGCAATCACGGGCGAACCCCTCTTCCTCTATTTAGCCGTGTCAAACACCGCAGTCAGTGCAGCACTCATCAGGGAAGACAGCTTTGTCCAACGACCGGTGTACTACATCAGTCGGGCTCTCAGGGGAGCAGAACAAAACTACCCATTGCTTTAAAAAATGGCCTTAGCCTTGGTCATAGCCTTAAGACGACTCCGACCTTACTTCCAGGCCCACCCCATTGTCATCCTCACTGACCAATCGTTGAAGAAAATAATGCAACAACCAGAGTTGTTCGGCCGACTTATGCAATGGTCAGTCGAGCTCAGCCAGTTTGACATCTCCTACAGACCTCGAACGGCGA